AAAAACGTTGAGTGGTGACACAAAGATGAAATTGTCTCTCTTGCTAATTCATTAACCACCATGTAGTGAAGTCATATTGGGAAGTGGAGGTATAGCTCCACCTTTCTTTACCTCTGTATTATATGGAGGTGAACGGTTAGCTTTACGCCCCCGGGGAAATAGGCTCCCGGTACCCATAGGATAGGACGGAGGTGGGCCCCAGAAGACTCGTGAAATAATTGGAAACAAAGCAATTACGTTTTCACAAAATCCTCACAGGACCCTCATTGAATTTTCATTTCTGTAGATCTGGTTGAAGCTGTGCGCCTGCGAAAGCTGCTTCTCTGACGTTTACATCTCTAGAACAGCCACTGACTTTCGACGTCATTTGTCTTTCTTCCTGTCACAAGGAGTTCCATCTTGGGCATCACGCTCTCTCTCTCTCTCTGACGAAATTCATTCTACTTTTCAACACAGTGTTACTGCCGGTCAACTATCCATATCCATGTATAATTTTCCATTCGCCGGTCACAGTAGCCGAACGGTCTAAGGCATGTACTGTCTTCGCTCGCTTGGAAACCGGGATCGTGGGTTCGGATCTGTTTCCTGTGAGGTACGGACTGAATTCTTATATATTATTCTTATACACGGCCGGTCACGGTAGCCGAGCGGTCTAAGGCATGTACTGTCTTCGCTCTCTCGGAAGCTGGGATCGTGGGTTCAGATCCCACTCAGGACATGGATGTTTGTGTGCGATTTTCTGTGTTTGTGTACAGGTAGAGGCCTTGCGACGAGCTGATCACCCGCCCAAGGAGTCCTACCGAATGTGTAAGCTCTAGAAAAACCGAAGTGAACGGAGAAGTTCATGGACGTAGGCCTAGGCCCACTGGGGCTGTAGTGCCAAGGGGGGAAAAAAAATTCCATTCTCTGGCTTGTCACACTAGCATAACAAGATCATTTGTAGCCAAAGAATTTCTAGTGCTACTACTACTACTACTACTACTACTACTACTACTACTACTGCCACGGTCACAACCACTATCATTGTTACTGCTATTATTACTGCTAATTCTGATACTACTATTACTACCACCAAACTCAAAATCACATTGCAACTGACAGTCAGTCAGTAAGTCTTGGTGTCGAGCACCATCTGGAACTCATGACCAAATATTTATTACTCTTTGACAGTTACGGTCTTGTTTTTCTGAGGCGCTCTCTCTGACGAGAGGCCGGTTCTCATTTTTGTATATGCTGCTGACCCTTGCCAGCGCAGTCTTTCTCGGGTCCAAGTCCCTTGGGACTCGTGACCGTATTTTACTGTCTCAGATTTGAGACCTCCCTTTTCCTCGCCTCCTGCGACTCGCAAAGTCACGGTGGAGGTACTCAACCCCGCCTCCACACGGGTGTACTCTCATCACTACCACAGTTACTATTTATATATTACTATTGTCGTTACGGTTGCTGTTGATAATAGTTCAACATCTACAAATTTATAAACGCAAGTCATGACAACTCCAAAGTCAGAATAATGAACAGTCCATGAAGAGTTGCATCGAAGTGCAGGAAGCAATAGAAAGCACTGAGGAAGATGCACGAGTTTACAAGTCTTCCTTCCCGGTTATTAGAATACAAATAAAGGATAATAGTATAATTCACGTGCCATATTTTTCACATTCAAAGGAAGGAAAATAAAAGAAGAATTAATAGAAAGTTTGTTTACCAAAAAAAAATAAATGTTTCCAGTACTGAAAAGTAATTAATTATATCCTTAATTCGCTTAGTGGGGTGGGGGTGGAATCCAGCTTGGTTCACTCGGCACGGCGCCCACTGATTGTTCTATTGTACTTGCCCCGGGTGATTATGATGATGGAGAATTTGGTGGAATGAAGATTGGCAGGGGAAACCGAAGTACTAGGAGAAAACCCGCCCCACCGCCACTTTATCCATCACAAAACCCACTTGACCAGACCCGGGATCGAACCCGGGCCGCCGCGGTGGGAAGCCAGCAACTAATTGCTTGAGGTATGGCGCGGCCTACTGAAGAGTATGTCGGGAACCCAATCCGCACGAAACTTCCTTCTGTCTCACCTAATTTGTTTTAACTCTCTCCTGAGTCTTGACAATACTGCGCGGCATGCATGAGAAGCAAAGGCGATCTGTAAGCTGACGTTTCTCGTCAGAGGGTTCGCAAAGCAACTGAGTTGTGGAAGGGTGACTGTGGTTATAGGGGCCAGCGGCAGAAAGGGACAAACGGCATTTCTTTTTATATATTTGTTCTGCGCCTTCATTGTTTGTCACCTGTATCGTATGTAAGGAGCACACAGACCAAATCTTCAAGATTATCTAACAATTTGAGATTAATCTGCATGTGAAATGAGTCACTTCTCGAAAGAGATGTTACAGGAATGTCTTAAAATCAAATAAAAACATTATTTATTCTCAAAGAATCTGGGAAATTGCGGGCCGTTTGTTGAATGTAGGGCCATTGACAGTAGAATAATTCTTGTTTGACTATTCCTAGTTGAACGGGTAATAAAATTAATTGGCTTCATATTTTGTAAAGGATGTTTTCTCCTCCGTCTGAATGACAGGCGCTGAGATCCTCAAACTAAAATAATTTATGTATATTTTTACTTCAAAATTTGAATGCGTATGAAATTTTGTTCCTTATATTAAGGGGTGCCGGAAGCAGTGTCATCAGCAACGACTTGAAGCACAGAGCAAATTATGCTCGAGATGGTTCAAGTTCGTATAGCAACAGGCGTGACCAGAGCGGTTTGAACGGCTGTTGTACTGCGATGTGGAAAGCAAATGGAAAAACTACCACATTATCACTTTTCCTGGATAGTCTCTTTCCAAAAACAGAGACACCAGAACCAGAAGACGAGGAAGAAGACTAAGAAGATGCTGGATGACCTTGGGGACAGAAGAGGATATTCTCATCTGAAGGAGAAAGCTCTAGATCGCATTAAGTGGAGGAACTGATTTGGACGAGACTGTGGACCTGTCGTCTGACAGATTACTGATGAATGAATGAATTAAGGGAAGAGCATGGACTGACGGTGAATATAACACTGACGTGAGTATCTCCTTCAGGATCGAATAGTAAGCAAAGCAAGAAAGCAACAATAACGTCCGTTTCTTGACGCTTGTTTCACCCATTTTTCGGCTCTGAAGATGGGAACAATATATTCCTCTTAAACGTCATGAGCTAGCAGGCTACACGGTGTTACATCCTTGAAGTAGTCAGTACTATTCACATTCACCGCCCTGAGAACCTCTTCTCGAACTTAAACTGAGGGTGTTTAAGAACAGGGTGGTGAGCAGAACATTTTGACGAAGAGGGGTGAAGTAATTGGAGACTGGAGATAATTGCAGAGTGTGGAGCTTCATAGTTCGTGCTGTTGACAAATATTATGAGAATAATGAAATAAAGGGCAATGAGATGGACAGAGTATATAGAGAACATGAGAGACAAAAGACGTGCATACAAAATTTTTGGTATGAAAATTTGAAGGAAGAATCTCTCACTGTTGTCTGAACCTCGAACTGGTCTCTACTCTCTAGTCTTCTGTGATCTCTCTACTCTCACGAATTCACGAATTCTCTGCCTTTCATAACCTCCACGCGGCCCGCATAGAAGACACAACGTTGACGTGTTCCTCTGGTGTTTCATTGGCTGTCACGGGAATCTCGTGTTCAGCAACTCGTTGCCTGGTAATGACTTGTTCGCCGCTATACATTATAACGTGAATGTATTTTCCGGCGGACGTCAGCTCTGGCTCCATTATTCTGGCTTTCAGTCGTCACTTCACAATATCAAGGCATAAATTGGGGGAGAGTAGACTGGGTTCATCTGGCTCAGAATAGGGGCCAGTGGCGGCTCGTTATGAATACGATAATGGATTTTTGAGTAGTTCTTTACAATGATGGCAATTTTTTAAGTGTCTCAGCAAATATAGACTTACCTCGAAGCAGTTACTTATTTAGTTCACTCTATTGTGAAATGCTCAGCTGATACCACGAAACATAAGATAAAGACTTTATATTCGTTCTTATCAAATGCCAATTATTATTATTATCTTAATTATTATTATTATCTTATTATTTATTTATATATTATTAATTATTATTTATTATATTATTATATATATTATTATATTAAACATACTCTGTTCATATTCCTTTCTGCAGAAATGAAGGATTAACGTTGTGACAGTTCTGCCTGACATCCTGTCACTTCGCTTATTCAGTGCAGTGCAGTGGAAGCAGATATGGACAAATCCCTTCAGTCGCACGAAACTAAAGTCCATGGTCGAAAAACAGGGAACAGAATTTGCCTGGAGCAGGCATAATTTTATTTTATATTTGATAATATCGCTTTACATTGTGTGGCTTAACTGTCACAAGGACACAAAACCGGATTTCATTCAGACCTAATAATTGTAAGTTTTGAGGTTTTCACGGCGATGACTATGAAGAAAGTCGTCTTCTGGGTTTAGGCGCCGTGTGTTCTTCGTTTTGGCCGACGTTTCGGAGGAACG